AAAAAAAAAAAAAAAAAGCCTGCAAAGAAACCCTCAAAAACTTGCTATTGTCACAGTGGAACTTTATGCCTTAAAATAAAATTCATCTTGAGTCTTAAAATCTTTTTTAAAACGTAAAAGAATTTGGTCAAAATTGATACAACTTCTAGTTTTAAGTGCAGAAAATGAAAAATAAAAAATGAAAAATAAAAAATGCCATTAATTTCTATTGAAAGAAGAGAAATTAAATTTGTATTGCTCTCAATCGTATTCTGTCAGTATTATTAGCCAAAAGATATTGGCATCGAACAAATATTCTAAAAACTTATTATCAAATGATTCTACCTGAATAAGAGGATAAATGACTGGATAAAATGGAATTTTTTTCCCTGAATGTGTGAGTAATTACATGTGAGTACTGATTTTGACTTACTGAGAGCGGTGTGTGCGTATGTGTGTTGTGGGGGGATTTGAACTGCACTTTAATCTCCTTAACTTCACTGACCCTCCAGTACATCTTTCATTACAAACACATGTTGCGTGGGAATGTGCTGTGTAAAGCCTCAGAATTATGGCAGTTAAGTTAGCATTTTGGCAGCTTAACACTACTGCAACACCAAACATTTCTCACTTACACTTTTAACCTGCACGGAATAAATCTGTTACTTTAAAACACATGGCTGAATTCTGCTGCTGCTTTATTTATTTTTATTTTTTTCTCTCAATTTGAATCTTTTTCAGATCACTTCCTCTTTTAAACTGATCTCTAGTCCTTTCCACTACCTTCAGTGAGACAATATCTTGTTCTATTGATGGTTTCTGTCAGTGTACTTCCTGGTAAGCTAGAATATGATACTGGGGTTTTCTATGTGTGTTTATCTGCTCTGGCACAGGGCAATAAAATTTGAAGACCTCATAATTGTAGCTAAAATGAAACAAATATTCTTGTATTAGGATTTACCAACTACAGCTAACAATAATCATTAATCTAAGTTCACGAATGTTACTATCCAGTACCGTGTTTTAGCTTTTCAGAAAAAGAGATGAAGCCTCTAAGATACATTGACAAACAAAAGCTAGTGGAAGTGGCTAATGGAGGTTAACCCAGAACTGGTGCAGGACTTTGGCTCTCTGTACAGAAAGCCATGTCAACATACCGCACCGCTTCAGAGTCACTTATTTACTACCTTACTTCGGTTCTGTAGACGCCATAAACTCACTCAGGATCCACCTTTGAGACTCTGCTACTGAACTTTGGATTATTCCTTTGTTAATCAAAATATGGTTTCTCTTGGGTCAATACAGATCAAAATGAAGAGAAGGGACACGCCCCTTTGCAAGCAGCAGTCCACACCCTGCTTTGGGAAAGGTGAGTAAATACTCCAGTGTAGTATGAGCATAGTCTACTCAGGCACATACACAAACAGGGGTCTCAGTAAAAGTAACA